ATTTCAATTTCAATTCAGTTTTATATTAAGTTAGTAAGTGTGTAATTATATTTACTGTTATATTTAACTCCACTACTGATAAATCATACAGTTTGAATCAAGGATCTCCATAAACTGGTTGACAACCCAGACTCAGGTTTTGATTGCTCCTGTCTTTATATTTACTAAAGAAGTTTCTGTGATTGTGGTGTACCACAGGGTTTGATCCTGGGTCCTGTTCATTTCTATTTTGGTAAATGCATTTTAAACACAATATAGATTTCCATTGTTTTGCTGACAATGATGTATTCCATAAGTTTACATGATTATTATTCTATTCAAATTGTTTATCATTGATTATACCTTTTGTAGTTTCTCTACAATGAGTTTGCACATCACACTGCTGTGAAATGAAAGAGACCTGAATTTGTACCTGGAGGCCTCAATGATGGAGTTAGTAGCTTTAAGGAGCTTTCAACCAAGTGTAATGGTTCAGGGTTCATCCAAAGAGAAAGACTGGAGTGGTTTCTGATAACACATTAAATAACTATGGGGAACACTGTATTGTGAAACAGCAAGAACCCTGAACAAGAGACTGAATGAACAACAGAAACAGACAACATCAGCTGTCTGAGAACTCCAGACCAAAATCAGTCACAGCATTGACTGGGAAGGAGTCAAAGTCATCGACCACAAGTCATCCACCACACTGTAAGAAAGTAAAATTAAAGTAAAATACCCTAATTCAAATAATGTGTAAAAACATTAAATTTACAGGAAATTACATTCAAATGTTTACCGAAAAATACCGTTATTTTACAATTTTTTCCCAAATAATTATGATCAATCACCTCCAATAAAGGGACAATTCTAAAAGTTCTGCAGGAAAATATGATTATTTTACAGATTTTTGCTAAATTATTACGATCACACACCAAAATATGATCTTCAAAATTACTGTGAAATATCCTCAACTGAAAACATACTAAAGCAATACATAATAGATACAGCTAAAGGTTTTCACTGTTTCAATTAAAATGTTGTGGGAAATTTACTACAAATAAAGTAATCACCACTATTGATTCTAAAATCCTTTTATTTTTTGTATTCAGATGTCAATTTACAATATCAACCAATTATTCACAACAGTTCTTTAGAGCCCCCCAGGAGGAACTGAAAAACTAAATGTGTGTAAAATGTGTTTGTTAGCATTTCTATCAAAATGAGGTCAAGATTTCACCTTTGAAATGGATGGAGGAAGCAACAAATTGTGTTGTTGAGCTGAGGGAGTTGTGGTCTTCTTCATTCTCCTAACCCTTGGGGGCTCTGTATAAGGTAGTTCTGATAACATCTGTGGAGAAGCATTACAGTCTTTTAATTAAGAATCCTAACTATACAGTGTATTATTAAGTAAAATGAAAATATACCACAAAGGGTCAATGAATCTGTAACAGAGGTACAACACAGCAGAAAAAGCAGAAAAATCTGAATCCTCCTCCAAATTGGCAGAAATCGTCTGGATCTTTGATGCTCCTGGAGGGGACACACACAGAGAGAAACTATTACTGAAAGGTCTTTACTGTAAAAAGTAGGATTTTATTTATAGTTCATTTTAAATGAACACTGCTGGAGTTTCACAGGAAATCAGTGTTGTAGCATTTTCCCAAACAACTGCAGAAAATAGTGACTACGTTTTAAATGCAAAAAACAAGTGAAGAATCCTCAGGTTCTGAGCTCTGCACTGTGGTCAAGCAAACCCACACCCACAGATCAAACAGTGTGTACGTCAACGCAGCTCCCAGCTAAGAAGCTACAGTGAAGATTTCTGCTCAACACATGGTGTAAATGACGACTTTTCAGGTCAACTTGGCATGTCTGGACTTTGGAAAACTTGGATTAGGATAGACAAGCAGTATGAAGGCCTTTTATGTTTTTGTAAAGTTGTTTTTTAACGTTTGAAACAAAGCCGCTGTTGACTACAGCTGTTTGGGAGGATGCAGCAAGCTGTTTTCATGTGAAACTCCAGGAGTGTTTTGTGAATTGAAAACAATAACCTGACCTTCTTTCAGCATGAGGGTTAGGTAATGACTGATTTTTAATTTAAAGTGAACTACTCTTTTAAACAAACTTCATTTAAATTGATGAGACATTATAGTTAAAGGCTTTTACTCAGAAAGGATGTTAAAGTGGCCATTGGACTGCAGAGCTATTTCCTGGATAACTTTGGGGAATGACTAGCCAACTTACATTACTGTGTTACAAAGACTACTGGCCAGCATGATGGGAAAGTCATAGAAAACAGGGATTCATGTTAATGTGTGGAATGGGATTCATGTTTGAACCACTATGTACATTTTCATATTTGAAAGAAGTTGTTTAACCATTGTTAACCATTCGGCACCACTGGATTCATACACAGCATAGATGAGTACAATATTGTTTGTCTTTGTGCTGACAAACTGGCAGTAATATGGCCTCTAGTATGCACATTATCCATTCACAGTCTTTATCAGGATAACATGAATACTCACTGGCTCTGAAGATCTTGTGGCAGGAGACTTTTCATTTCCAAAATGTCTGGATCATGAGGGGAAAACACACAGACAAACAAACAATATTAGCCAGTTTACTGTTGGAGACATAGACATGCAAAATATTACCCAACAGCCTCACACATACATTCATTCTTACATAATATCTTATTATGACTGATGTGAACTTGGTTTCATTCTCTGTATGTTTTGCCTCTGCTTGCCGACCTGTCTCTGGGTTTAATGCTGCACCCCAGCAGCCGGTGATATCTTGTCACTCCTGGTTCTTCAGCCTTCTCATGATCACACAGGTGATGCACACCTATAGGTTCTGACACAGTGAAGAATATGGTAAATGGATTGCTCTTGCATATATAATGCTTTTCTAGTATTATCAACCACTCAAAGCACTCTACAATACATGTCTATCATTCAGCCATTCACACACTGATGGCAGGCTCTACCAGGGAGCCAACCAGGACAAGATTAGCCTAAATCCTCTAACAGTTACACAATGTTTGTGTAGGTTAACATTTTGGATGTTATAACAAGGTTTTAATGGGAAATAGTCACATGTGACCATCTAAAGGGAGGGATAGGCAGGGAACGGGACAAACACAAAAAGATTCCAGTTAGTTCTAATGAGCATTACATTAGACTCTCTCTCTCTCTCTCTCTCTCTCTCTCTCTCTCTCTCTCTCTCTCTCTCTCTCTCTCTCTCTCTCTCTCTCTCTCTCTCTCTCTCTCTCTCTCTCTCTCTCTCTCTCTTTCTCTCCTCTCTCTCTCTCTCTCTCTCTCTCTCTCTCTCTCTCACACACAGTTATATTTAACTCCACTACTGACAAATCATACAGTTTTAATCAAGTATCTCCATAAACTGATTGACAACCCAGACTCAGGTTTTGATTGCTACTGTCTTTATATTTACTAAATTCAATTCAATTCAATTTTATTTGTATAGCGCCAATTCATAACAGAAGTTATCTCAGGACACTTTTCAAATAGAGCAGGTCTAGACCGAACTCTTTATAACATAAATTACAGAGACCCAACAGTACCACCATGAGCAAGACCTTGGAGACAAGGGCAAGGAAAAACTGCCTGTTAAAAAGGCAGAAACCTAGGACAGATCCTCCGGCTCTAGGTGGGTGGTCGTCTGTCTCGACCAGTTGGTGTGTGAGAGAGAGAGAGAGAGAGAGAGAGAGAGAGAGAGAGAGAGAGAGAGAGAGAGAGAGAGAGAGAGAGAGAGACAGAGAGACAGACAGACAGACAGGTGCACAGCAACAACAGTATTGGTAATGGCAATCTAGCAGGACCATGGCAGGAGGCTCCACCAGGATCGATAAGAACCTGCGAGACGAGAAACCACAAGAACTCCGGGGAAGAAGTGAAGTTAGTAACATGCATTAATGTGACATGAATGAGTGCAGAAAGAGAGAGGAAGAGAGGAGCTCAGTGCACCATGGGAAATGCCCCGATAGTCTAGGCCTATAGCAGCATAACTAAGGGATGGTTCAGGACTCACCTGATCCAGCCCTAACTATAAGCTTTATCAAAGAGGAATGTCTTAAGCCTAGTCTTGAATGTGGAGAGGGTGTCTGCCTCCCGAACCACAAATGGAAGCTGGTTCCACAGGAGAGGAGCTTGGTAACTGAAGGCTCTGGCTCCTGTTCTACTTTTAGAGACTATAGGAACCACAAGTAGCCCAGCATTCAGAGAACGTAGTGTTCTAGATGGGTAATAGGGTACTATGAGCTCTTTAAGATATGAAGGGGCCTGACCATGAAAAGCTTTATAGGTGAGGAGGAGGATTTTAAATTCTATTCTACATTTTACAGGGAGCCAATGCAGAGAAGCTAGTACAGGAGAAATGTGATCTCTTTTTCTAGTTCCTGTCAGTACTCGTGCTGCAGCGTTCTGAATTAATTGGAGCGTTTTAATGGACTTATTGGGGCAACCTGATAATAAAGAGTTGCAGTAATCCAGCCTAGAAGTAACAAATGCATGGATTAGTTTTTCTGCATCTGTCTGTGATAGTATGTGTCTAATTTTTGTAATATTACGTAAATGAAAGAAGGCAGTCCTAGAGGTTTGCTTTATGTGGGAATTAAATGACAAATCCTGATCAAAGATAACTCCAAGATTCCTGACAGTGGTGCTAGAGGCCAAGGTAATGCCATCTAGAGTAACTATATCTTTATACAGTGAGTCTCTAAGGTTTTTTGGGGCCAAGAACAAGAATTTCGTTTTTTTCTGAGTTTAACATCAGAAAATTGCAGCTCATCCAGGATTTTATGTCCGTAAGACATGTTTGTAATTTAGATAATTGATTAATTTCATTGGGTTTGATTGATAGATATAACTGCGTATCATCTGCATAACAGTGAAAGTTAATGGAGTGATTCCTAATAATGTTGCCTAAAGGGAGCATATATAAAGTAAATAGTATTGGTCCAAGTACAGAACCTTGTGGAATTCCATGACTAACTGTAGTATTTATTGAAGATTCATCGTTAACATGTACAAACTGCGAGCGATCTGATAAATATGACTTAAACCAGCTTAGTGCGGTTCCTTTAATGCCAATTTGATGCTCAAGTCTCTCTAAAAGAATATTATGGTCAATGGTGTCAAATGCAGCACTAAGATCTAAGTACAGAGACAAGTCCATTGTCAGAAGCAGTCAGAAGGTCATTATTAACTTTAACCAGAGCTGTCTCTGTGCTATGATGAACTCTAAATCCTGACTGAAAATCCTCAAATAGACTACTGTTATGTAGAAAGTCACACAACTCTTTGGCGACTACTTTCTCCAGAATCTTAGAGAGGAAGGGGAGGTTAGAAATCGGTCTATAGTTGGCTAAAACCCCTGGGTCAAGAGTGGACTTTTTAAGAAGGGGTTTAATTACAGCTACTTTAAAGGACTGTGGTACATATCCTGATAATAAAGAAAGATTAATCATATCCAGTAAAGAAGTGCCAATTAAGGGAACAACTTTAAGCAGCCTAGTTGGGATCGGGTCCAACAGACTTGCTTCGATGAAGAAATGATTGAAGTTAACTGATGAAGATCGATAGCAGAAAAACAGTCTAAATATATATCTGAGTTTACATTAGTTAAAGTCCCTGAACTTAGAGAGCCACTGATAACTGTTGATGGCAGTTGGTGATTATTTTTTTCTCTAATAGTAATAATTTTATTATAGAAGAAGCTCATGAAGTCATTGCTACTTAAGTTTATGGGGATATGTGGCTCAATAGAGCTGTGACTCTGTCAGCCTGGCTACAGTGCTGAAGAGGAACCTAGGGTTATTCTTATTTTCTTCTATTAGTGCTGAATAATAGGCTCCTCTGGTATTACGGAGGGCCTTTCTATAGGTTTTAAGATTATCTTGCCAAATTGAGCGATATTCTGATAATTTGGAAGAGTGCCATTTCCTTTCAGATTTCCTAGCTATTTGCTTTAACTGGTGGGTTTGGTGGTTGTACCAAGGTGCTAGTCTCCTATGTTTTAATAATTTCCTTTTTATAGGAGCGATAGAGTCTAATGTTGATCGTAGTGAGCCTGCAGCACTATCTACCTCCAACCTCCACAACCACAGCTCCCAGTACCTCCAACCTTCACAACCACAGCTCCCAGTACCTCCAACCTTCACAACCACAGCTCCCAGTACCTCCAACCCTGCTGACTAAGACTGGTTTAAACTCCAACTTACGACAAACAAACTTTTTGCACAACTACTTATATTTAAGTTGCACATTTCATTTTTAGTGTAGGTGGACTCTTCACAAATTTAAAGGGATTTTTGTCGAAGCCTGTTCTCTTTTGCTCCTTCCTTCTACATTTCCTCAAAAGGTTTTTAGCTCTCCTCAGTGATGCAAACCTACTCTGGATCTCTCCCTGCAGCAGGTTTATGTCCTCCTTCTCCTCCTCAGTGGCCTTCCCTCCATTGCTTCTTCAGCTGCCTTCTCTCTTTGATGATCTATTTCTGTCTGCCTTCTGGACTTGATAGGGATTGACGGAGTAGATCGCTTGCTTTAGACCACTCCGAACATTTCTACTCCATAGGCGTAGATTAGATCCCCCATTTTCCCCAACTTCTTGATGGTGGTGCCTCTGATCCCTTCTAGGATGTTGCAGAGATCAGTGTTGACCTCCTTCCACAGTGTCTTATCACAGGATTTTGGCCATTTGACTAATGGCATTTGCCCCTGGATCTTCTTCTCTGTTGCAGGTCATGATGGGTTGGGTTCAGGTTGCTCTTCTGTGCCTGGTTCTTCCTCCTGAGGGACAGGGATGTTGATGTCCTGCAGACTTTGGTTTGTGTCCTGCTGCTGAACTTCAGTCGACTGACTCGACCTGCTTCTGAGAAAGTAGCTGTCGATGCGAGTTCCCTGTTGACCCTTCTTCAGGCACCTTTTTATGCCTTGATGTATTTTAAGGCCTTTGGTGGAAGTAACCTTTTCCCAGCCACATATGCAGCTCTGGAGAGTGTGTCCTGCTGTAGCTGTTGGAGCCTCAGGTATGCTGATTGACCATCATTCTCGTAGTCTGTTCCGTTCCTGTATTCGTTCCCGGGTTGTCTGCCGAAGAGTCATCTTCCGCCCCCGCTCTCACTGACTCAAGGGGTATATTCCTCTTTGAACTTTTTGGTAGCCATGTGTGGGTGGGACCCGTACACCGTTTGCATTCCTGAGACACTACTAAGACTCTGTGGGATGGTCAAGTGAGTGATGGCATCCTCTGAGTTATCAAGTGGGTGCCCTCCTTCCTAGATGTTTCACTGATAGGCATAAAAGGTAAAAGCTGCACTGAAGCAACAAACACTGGAGAGAGAAACTCCCTCCAGACAGGACAAGACCAAAAACATTATAGTCTTTTATTTTATACATTATTATGTAAAAAGAACATCAAAAAACATTAAGGAACAGCTTTGATGCAGGCGTTTTTGTTTCTTAATGCAATGCAAAAGAATTGAATTATCAAGCATATATGTAATGTGCACTGTATGATCTAAACAAAATACAAGTATCAGATTAAGGATCAGCAGATACTTAATATTTAATGACTCGGGGGGCTAAAATCTATGATTGCGACATCTACTTTAGATCAAAATATTTCTAAAGACAACATCAGTTTTATTTTTATACATTATATGATTATTTTAAAAATTCAGTACTTGTGGCAGCTGGTTCATTAACTGTTGGTGTTCCAGACCTATTAATTGAGTGAGATTTGTTGATTCGCCCTGAAAATTCTGAAAAACGTCTGAAATCAAATCTGAGTGCACTCTCCATTAATGTTACACATGGCCATGTAATTTTTGACACTGAGCTTCCTTTTCATTGACAGACTTAAATTGTACTGTGATGATGATTTCCTCCACTTAAGAACAAAATTCTTATATTTACAAACCCTGAAAAAGGTGATCCATCCTTTAAATCACTCATGTAACTCCAGTAATAAAAGAAACAAAAGCCTTCCCACCTCCAGCTGGTAGAAAATGCTGCTACCAGTCTGTTAACCAGGAGGAAGAAAATACAGATCTAAGAGGAGAGGGAGAGATTCAGGGAGGAGCTAAGCTGTTACTGAACTATAGAAGAGAGAGGAACTTCCATATTCAGCAGAGTTCAATACACAAACCAGAAACATTACCTTTATTCAACATGCTGTCACTGCACACAACTTTCTCTACTATTACTCTACTGTACATCATAACAGGTATGTTGTTTCTGCATGGTGATGATGAAATTGAATTACAAAGAGTCTTTTGCAACACGAAATGACAGAGTTATCTCTCCCTTTAGGTGTCCGCTGTGAAGAACTCACTCCAGTAAAGGATGAAGAGTCCAGTTTAGAAGAGAGCACTGTTACTCTGTCCTACACATACAACAAACAAGCAACTGGTAGTGATTATTTCTTCTGGTATCGACAATATCCAGGAAAACCACCAGAGTTCCTCATCTCTCACTCTGGTTCAGGAAATGTAGGACAGGAACAAATCCCTGGACTGAAGATTAAAGTGGAGCAAAACCAAATAGATATGAACATCTCCTCTGCTGCAGTGACAGACTCTGCTGTGTACTACTGTGCTGTGAAGCCCACAGTGACAGGAAACACCAAAACTCTGTACAAAAACCTGACAGCTCCTCACTGAAGATTTACACACTCCAGCTTCTGCTTTTACTGAAAAACAGCCCCATCAAGTGGACACTGATAATAAGATCCAGTGATAAAATAAATAGTTATTCAGTTAACAGTCTGTCTTAAAACAACATTCACATGTTCATATGTACATTAAAACATGATTCTTTCTGTAATCATTCCTCCTGTTCATACTGGTCTTTAAAAGATATTTTCCTGATGTGAATTCCATCCTAGTGATGGGGGACAAACTCCATAGTCCTCATTCTGTACAGAAATATATTCCAAAGTTCAGTTCAAGGTAATATGATGATTCAGCAGTCTGAGTTACACAAAAAAAGATACCATCTAAATCTTTTTGTGCAGAGGCAATTTCATGTTAAAAAGTCTTAAACTTTAGAAGAAACCCACTGGATCTAACTGCTGAAGTCTCATATTAACTTCAACTGTGTTATCAGTTGAGAGGAATCCATCATCCTCTGTGAACCATGAATATCTGGATAAAAGCTCATGACAATCCATTCAGCAGTTTCTGAGATATTTCACTGCTGAATATAAATGAGATGTAAATGTTGAGAGTTCCTCAGCAGATGATAAAGAGGAAGGACCAATGATGTGAAGGCCCAGATCCATCAGAGTATCAATGTTCTTCCTCTCTCTCCTCCCCTCTCACTGCAGACATGAAACACTGGCTGAGAAACATCCTGATTCTGACTCTCTGGCTAGGTAACTCTTTAAACCTACTGATTGTTCTCCTTTAATCAATCATCTTTATTGATTCATCTCTTCCTCTGCATGTTCTCTTCTTCCCCAGAGTGTAAAGGAGAAGACAGAGTGACCCAGCCACCAGGAGATGTCATTGCTACTGAAGGAGAGACAGTTACACTTGGATGTACATTTGAGACCAGTGTTTCCACAACTGCATATTTGTTCTGGTACAAACAGGAAGTCAATGACTTTCCTGTGTATATTTTGCGTCGTGATACTTTTGGAACAGAAGATAATGCTGCTGACTTCCCGAAGGAAAGATTTAATGCTGCGATCAACAAACCATCAGTTCCTCTGAAGATCCAGAAGCTTCAGCTGTCTGACTCTGCTGTGTACTACTGTGCTCTGCAGCCCACAGTGACAGGAAACACCAAAACTCTGTACAAAAACCTTTGGAGCAAAGACAACAGAATACTCCACAACATCCACTAGAGGGAGTCACACACTGTTAAACTTCAATGGTATGGGATTGAATGGCTGGTTTATGTAAAGGATAATGTCTGACAATGTGTCTACTATCAGGAATTAATCGACCGTGTGTGTGTCCACAATGTCCATTCATTCTGTAAAATGGACACCTCAAACTGCATGAATCCACTTATACCATGGTCACTTTCCAATGAAGAAAAATAATCTGTATTTTATATTTTCATGTTTGGAATCAAAATCTAAATTATTTTACAAGCCCTAGTGTTTCCCTGGTAACACCTGAGGGTTTGACTAATACCTGGAAGAATCATTACCAACCTATAAGGTTCTGATGCAACAAAAACAATGTTCACTACTCCAGTAAATAGGACGAACCATAGATACAACTTGGAAACTGAAGATATTTCTAGTTCCCTCTACTCAGAGAGCGCTTTGGCTCAGCTATGAGACAGAGAGCTGACATTATGATAGCAAGATTCTCAGTAACATTGTGTACGGTCAACAAACATTGAATTTAACATGACAGTATGTTTAAACACAAGCCTAGCTAGCTATCAGCCATGTCATTGTCCCCAAATCAAATCAAGATTTTCACCAACAAGAGGTCCTGTGGACTGACGGTTGCAGTCTGAAGTAGTGAGCTGAATAGCATATGGGATGTGGGAGGATCACTAATATAAAGTATCAATAAGTTCAGAGGGGCAGTTAAGTGTCCTACATCAGGAATTAATGGACATCCAGCAGCCAATCAGAATCCAGTATTCACTCCGACCATGGTATAAAACATGTGAAGAGCTGGTGTTTCAGATCATCGTACAATTGAGTTTATCTAGATTTTAATTTCCCACAAAATCCTGTAAAGCAGGTGAGAGCAAATATGCTGTCTGTTGATGTTAAACTCAGCATTCATAGTCTGGGTATAATGTTTGACACTTATCTTTCATTATCAGCTGACTTAAAGCATACAAAATGTATTTCTGAATATGAAAGAAGCAAACAATCTTCCTCTTTGGAGCTGAAAATCAACATTGTAGGTGATTTATTTTCAATTCAATTCAAGTTATGTGTCATGTGAATAACACTGTTTGAGTGTTTAATAAGTAATGGATGTGTGTCTACTGTAATTGAAGAGTAGTTTATCATCTGATTAAAGTAACAAGGACATTTTATTCTTTGTAGACTCTGTTGGCGCCTGTGGACAAAAGCAGTAGAGTTTCATTGAAATGATTTTAATGGAAATCTGATTTAATCTGACCCAGTGGCAGGAATTAACAATTTTACATGTAGAATGAATCAATCTAATCACTGCAGGTCTTGTATGCTTATGTTCATCATATAGATATGTCAGTCTTAAACATGGACTGTTTTATAACCAGTTAAAAGTTAATTATAGTAGGTTTAAAGATTGAACTCAGTCAGGACCTTCACGTGCTGTAAAGTGTCAATCAGTGTGACCTTATCAGCTACTTGTTACCTGATGGAAATGATGGCATTTAGTGAATAACAGCAGCACAGCAGTGACAAACACACTATTTGTCAGAGTTGTGAGAGGAAGGAGGGAGGGATTAAGGGAGGAGCAAAACTGAGACTCAAGTACAGAAAAGACAGAAACTTTCACAGTGGTGTTTCATCCAAAAAACAGACAGATTGTCTTTATCTTTAAGATGCTGTCAGTGAACTTCAGTCTGTTTGTGACTTTGTTTCTGCTCACAATAAGAGGTAGGTGAGATCATTAACATTAAAAGAGCTTCATTGATAAAAACCTTTAGATCATAAAGTTACAGAGTTATCTCTTCCTTTAGGTGTCAGCTGTGAAGAACTCACTGCAGTCAAGAAACAAGAGTCCAGTTTAGAAGACAGCACTGTTACTCTGTCCTACACATACTCCAGAAAAGCAACTACTGAATATTTCTTCTGGTATCGACAATATCCAGGAAAACCACCAGAGTTCCTCATCTTTCACTTGGGAACACAAAATGCAACAACCTCTAGACTGTCAGTTACAGTGAGTGAGGATAAAACCCAAATGGATCTGCAGATCTCCTCTGCTGCAGTGACAGACTCTGCTCTGTACTACTGTGCTGTGAGGCCCACAGTGACAGCAAACCCACAGTCTCTGTACAAAAACACAAGCTGACACACTGACAAGCTGCTGGAAGCCTTTTTCCACACTGTTGGACTCAACTTTTTAGCTCCACTAGAGGGCGACATTATCAAGTAGGCGGTGCACTACTTCTGCACTGTGTTCAACCATTCTGTCAATAATAACTGCTGCTGTGAAGAGAACAATTGTCACACTGAATGTTGAACATCAGCTAGTTTCTCCTGTTGATTTAAACCTTGTTGTAGAGATGGAACATTGGCTGTGGATTATTCTTGCTGCTCTTTTCTTTGGTAAGATAGAAAGCACAACATGTTTTTATTCTTTTCTAAAGATTGATGGAAACTGGAGTTCAGAGCAGAAATCTCTCAACAGTTGAGCTGTTTCTGTCCACAGAGTAACACTGTACACTTGATATTTTCCACTGTCTTCTCCTCTCAGCCTCATGAACAATGTTAGTCTAATGGCTTCATTTTCTCCACTTTTTCCAGGACTAATAGCTGGAGACACAATCTCTCCTGTAGGAGATAAAGTCAGTGGAAGAGAAGGAGAATCTGTCACACTCAAATGTCAATATCAGACTACTTCAGATTATATTCTCCTTCACTGGTACAGACATTCTGACCTTCAGGCTCCTCAGTTTATACTCTATAAAGGAGCAAGAACCTATAGTAGTGCTGAATATATTCCAGATAAACGATATGAATCTAAAACAACAGATTCATCAACTGACCTGACCATCAGAAAACTAACCCTGGCAGACACAGCTCTCTACTACTGTGCTCTAGAAACACAGTGATACAAAGTGTAGAAGAGGCTGTACAAAAACCTGAACACAGATATCTGACTACTCTTCAAAGAGGAGGGAAGTGGTATTCAAACCACAGCTTCATATCAGATGGATTCTGCTAATTCCTGTTTTATCAGAGTCACTGTGGTTACAGCTGCTAATGAAACACTGTGGGAGGATTCACATGAGCAGCAAATCCACATCAATGACAAACCAACTGGATGATGCTTCAAACACAAGACACCATGGAAACAAATTTATATATACACGTTTGTGACCTGAATTATGTATCTAAAGTCATCCCAGACTACAAACAGAAGAGTTTGGGGGCCTTAACCAGCAGAGTCACACTACCGGATGAGCTCAACAAGTTCTACGCTCGTTTCAAAGCCCTCAAATCCGGGGCGACAGGGAGAGACTCTGGCCACTGAGGGAATACTGGACACACCACTGTCTGTGTCACCGGTAGAGGTGCGCTCCACTCTGAGGAGAACAAACGGACGGAAGGCAGCAGACCCAGATAACATCCCTGGGCGAGCACTCAGGGTTTGCTCATCAGAGCTGACGGAGGTGTTAACAGACATCTACAACCTGTCCTTCGCTCAGGCCGCGGTCCCCAACTGCTTCAAGTCCACCACCATTGTGCCCCTACCATAGAAAGACACTGTTACCTGTCTGAATGTCTAACGACCTGTTGCACTCACTCCAATTGTGATGAAGTGTTTTGGAAGGATAATCATGACACACACACCCCTTATGGTTTCCATACAGACAGAATCGTTCCACAGATGCTGCTGTCAACGCTGCCACAGTGTGAGCTGTTCTGGATAAGAGTGTCAGCTCAATAAACACGTTTCAACAAATGCTACATTTATGTTTCAGAAACTGGAAAACTGTTCAATAGCTGTAAATCAAAGGGAAATGGGTGTAATATAGCAACTCTGTACTTTCATCTCATATCTTTAAAAATAAAACAAAGTTCAGTCAGGACCACTTTCGTCAAAATATCTTATATCCCAAGCAGAATTACATTTGGCGGTATGGCTCTGTTCTGGGACCTCCTTGTCCTTCCGCGTGCCTATGTGGAAAACCTTAAGGCAGGGAGAGCACACCTCCCTGCCCTTCCATGTGCATACATGGAAATGTTTAAGACAAGGAGAGCGGCAGCAGAGACCCCCAAAGAACCATACCAGGCAACCTCCCTTCCATGAGCTACATGGAAGTGCCGGTAAGAGGAGCCAGCAGCGCAAATTTTTGTAAGAAATAAATAACAGTAATAAAGCCAATAATTTATGCAGATACTAGTTAAGTAACTTGGCTGAGGATTAATAAAGAGATCCCTCAGAAGTTATGCTAGAGTGTATTTAAATTAAACCAGCAAAAACATATTTCCCGAACAGAGGGTTATATTTGGTGGTGTGGCTCTGTATGGGACCTCCTTGTCCTTCCACGTGGAAACCTTCCATGTGCATACATGGAAAGGTTTAAGACAAGGAGAGCGGCAGCAGAGACCCCCAAAGAACCACACCAGGCAACCTCCCTTCCATGAGCTACATGGAAGTGCCAGTAAGAGGAGCCAGCAGGACTATAAACCAATACGTCTAAGCAGACACTAGTTGAAGTACATGGCTAAGTATACTAGAGATATCCCCAGAAATATGCTATACATTAATGAATTTAAGCCGGAAATTACAGGGCACTCATTGCTTTGAGCATCAAGATTTGCTTGGCCTCAGGCAGGAGGTATCGTTCGTAAGCAGATAATGAGCATTTACCCATAGCCTTAGCGTCGAGACAGGAGCTACGGATGCTGCATTTATGCGAATTGAATGAGTTATTTTAATGTAGATTAGCTAAGCCAGATCGCATATACTGAGCAGTAGATAGCCTGTATATTGCATGGTTGTGTTTACTCTAACACGGTTTGAGAAAATGGGGGGCAAGTCAGGCTGGATGGCGCTGCCTCCGGGCACAGCTGGCGAAATTCTGCGATTCAAACGGGACAAAAATCAGCAATTGTTATCCAAGCATGGAATATGAGCTGCTCTAATAATGAATTTACCCAACATAGATAACCAAGTGAGGCGCCTTACAAATCTATTAATGAATGGAACTGAAGAACGCCCTTGTAAATGATGTTGGCAGTTGCCTCATTGTCGAAAAAACATGATTGTTCCCATGACCAGTCTTTTCCCCACAGAAACATGAAACAACAATTGTACATTCATTAAAAAAGGTAGAAGAGGCAGTAGCTGGCAAGGATGACAGCCATATGTCTGTGAACCACTGATTATTAAAATACCCCCCCAAAACCTACGGAAGGGTGGTTATCATACAGGTCAATCATGCCACTACTACTGTATGTTTGAATGAATTATATCTCCATTATTTCTGTACCCAACACCGAAAAACTTGAGGATCCATGCTCTTCCCTAAATGCCCCTCATGTCTGCTCTCTGTCTTCTTAGCTCAGCAAAGCTGTTCATTAGTGATCTAGTAGATCATAGCAGTCACACTATTAGACCTTGCTGTTGACATAAAGCTCCCAGGGTGAACTGGCACACAGTGTTCGATTCATTTATATGTACTCAATATGCTGCGTCTTTTATAATATTGGCAAATGATGATTTTAGCTGCTCATTGTAAAAGAAGGAGATGCCATACCATTATCACACAGAAGAGATCAGGACTGGGGCTCGGATCTGCAGCCCTTCTCCAAGCTCACCATATCATGGAGTGCTCTATAAATCGGAGAGGTCCAGAAGCCTGGATATAAGGGAACTTCCCTGGGGAATAACACACATGCCAATTTAAGATGTCTAAGCAAGGAGAGCAGTTCTCTTTTGGAAATGACTACTGCCTGCTGCTTTCATTACCTCTCTGATGCGATTTTTCATCAGTACACTAGAGTGAAGCCTAGACTCTAGCCTTACAGGGCCTGATGTTTCTCCTTGGCTAGCAGAAGACCTAATGTTTTAAAGGTATATTTAAGAGCAAAATGCATGGTCTGATTTTGAATTGATAGTCAACTACAGAAAATCGTCTACGAGATGGAGCACGAAAGCAGTTGCAGTTATTTAAAAGAATCCAGCAGAGAGCCTCTGATAGGTATCAAATATGTGGGGCTGCTGTAACAACCAAAGGTGAGCCTAACTGAGAAGTACATTTCTCTTCATTTAAACCAAACAGATACCAGTGTGAAGGTGTAATACATGACTTAAATGCATCTGTGACATCTGCCTTGGCTAGCCATGCGCCTCTACATGCTTCCTTAATCAACTGATGGCATTGTAGATTATCAGACCCGCCTTATGTTCCAAGTGTGAAAAATATAATAATGACTTTTTTCCCCATCCTTTATGCAACCAGAAATGAGAATAAAGAAATTTTTTTTTTTTTTTTTTTTTAATCAAAACCCTTTAATTGTTATTTTTCTTGTCCATTTCAATGGACATCGGGTCCAAACAATTCTTAAAATACCAACATCATATGACAACATCATACCTATTTTTGTCTGTTAAATGTTGCAAAAAGTAAAAAAGAAGCCCCTGTCAAGTGACGTCCATTGTAATGGACACAGGGTCTGAAGGGGTTAAACTATTTATGCCTTAGTTTTGCCTTTGCAAGAGCAGATCAATTTTTTATTTTTTTTTTATTTTCCCTGAATATCCCTGGTAGCTATACCTTAATGCTTGTTGAGAAGGCGATTTATGAATGGACCAATATGAATCCTTTTGTTATCCTTTCTTCAGTAAAGCCTCGACTATCTCAGCTCTTCAAAGCAGATTGTAGGTTTTGCAACCAAGTCAGCCCAGCTAAGAACCATGAACCAGCCCTATAACAGATAATTCACTAACAGTGTTTAGATGCTTTCTTAGCGCCTTCCCCAGCTCAGGGACGTTTACTGGGGTTGAAGGTTTATCTCTCATTCCCCCTTGAGAGGCAGCACGTCTTCCCTATGGTGATTGGGACTGCACTTCCCAGCATTCTCGGCGGGAATGTGACGCCGTCAAACAAGCTGCTGTGACGTCATCGTCAAGCGCTGCACCTGTGGGACCATGCGCTCTACCTGCAGACAGCGAAGAGGGAAACAGGCCAACTGCGGACGAAGACTGGCCGGCCTGACGTGCCGAACCGAACCCTGGACCCTTGAACCCATGACGGCAAGCGACAACCAGATGTTGGACAGAGCTGACAAGCAAGACAGGTGGAGCCGGCCGCTGCGCCTGGGACCCGCGCTCCCCTGGAAGGCAGCGCAGCGCAGCGCCGGAGCCGGAGCCGGAGCCGCAGGAGCAATTCCTCCCCCCTTCTGCAGACCCCACCAGAACCAGAGCAGCCGGACAGAACTGCGGATGTTGTTCAAAGCGACACTCTCCCCAACAGCCGAGATCTCTGCTGAGACTTCACAATGCGATCGACCCGCCATCATACTCACCGCAGACAGGACAAATAGAAACAAACGACAAACCACAAGTAACGCACACAACATCCTGGCAAACAGGTTTATAGAGGAAGCAGCAGAGATAGGCAGGCAGGCTAAAGCAGCTTAAATAAGGCGCCATGTAGATGTTTGCCAATTGGATGCTTGAGGAAATCAGGTGAGCTGTCAGCTGACTGTGTATGGTATCCAATGGGAAGCTTAGAGGAATCAGCTGATGTATGTTTATGACTAGCTGTGATCGTATGATATAGCTGTAACTGAAAGCTGAGCCTGACTTCGTGCCCTGCCTGAACTAACGCTATGCTCAATTGCACGTGTATATAGGTAGAGTCACTCTGATGGACATTTATTAAAGACAGTTGATTGGAAATTAATCTGATTTAATATTGAAGATTAAGTTTGTACAGTTAAAACCACCAACTATTACAGTATAAAAGGATTCAACATATGATCTCAGTTCTGTTGAGCTGTGAGTTCATATAGAAACAGATTATGAAGTGACTAATGGTTTTAATCTCTGCTAGTGCTGGGCGGTATGGTAACAATTGTATGATGGTAGTTTTTAAGATTCTAGCAGTTTTACAGCATATCACAGTTTTTCTTTAGATGACTGGGTCTTTATATAGGCTAATTATACTGCTAGGAGTACAAAGAATATAAAAAAATGTTATGTCATCATTTATATCCTGAAGGCTTTGATTATTATTGGGTTTTCTTGCCCCAGGCAGGGTCAGCAAGGGCATGACTAGGAGAGGAGAGAGTTTGTAGCTTTGCTGCTACATGTCGGTTAACTAGGAGGAAGTGTAACTGAGAGAAGAAAATACAGATCTAAAAGAAGACGGAGAGATTCAGGGAGGAGCTAAGCTGTTACTGAACTATAGAAGAGAGAGGAACTTCCATATTCAGCAGAGTTCAATACACAAACCAGAAACATTACCTTTATTCAACATGCTGTCACTGCACACAACTTTCTCTACTATTACTCTACTGTACATCATAACAGGTATGTTGTTTCTGCATGATGATGATGAAATTTAACTACAAAGAGTCTTTTGCATTGTGAAATAACAGAGTTATCTCTCCCTTTAGGTGTCAGCTGTGAAGAACTCACTCCAGTAAAGGATGAAGAGTCCAGTTTAGAAGACAGCACTGTTACTCTGTCCTACACATACTCTAAACCAGTGGTTCTCAATTATTTTCTGTCATGCCCCCCCTAGAGGAAAGAAATTTTTTCACGCCCCCCCTGAATTTTAATACTATTGAGAAACTGATAATATTTATTTATCGGTACAAACCACTGTATGAGTTGCTGGCACCAGCATTCTGCATACAATCACCTGATTATCAAAATGGATTAATAAAATGAGCTGAGATAACATCTGCAGCAACTTAAAACTATTTCCAAGTTCAGTTTATTAACTCAATTTGTAACATTTAAACAAGACTGCTCAGTCTGTGTGATTCTCAAAACAGAGAAAAAAGTGCAAATGATTCACTGGGATGTGCATTTTTATAGACTTAACACAGTAACATTCAAAACTTTTTTAAACTATAAACACTGGTCACTTGTCAGCTTCATCAGCTTATTCCTTTTCAAAAAGATATATGACTTTTTAACATTTATTTTTTTGTGCAAAATTTGCAACAATATTACTTATTTTTAACGTTTGTCTGTTAGATGTTCTGTGAGTTGTTCTTGAAGGTCGTCTGAAATGTCAAATATACGTCTCCCGATTGTGTCACTGGAAAGAGGGACAGTATTCAGTGTCTCAGCACTTTTCTCACCTATGATTGTGACCATGTCCAATGCTGCCGGAGTATTAGCTCCTCTGCTATTGTGTGATGGTTTTTTGCACCTTGCTATGTGGCGGTGTTTGTACGAGGCTAACGGTGCGTTTTTATTTAGGGTTATTTAGGTCAGTGCTATGGATTCAGGTCTATCTATTTTTGAATTTCATGTAAGTTATGACACAGCTGCACTTTTATTTTCTTTATTTTTGAACTTGCTGTTATTTGATGTAGATAGTTAGTTTGTATTTAGATACAACTTGTTACTATACTGATACTACTTGTTACTTCAATAAATTGGAACATTTTAAGCTTGTTGGGTATTTTATTAGCATTGTATTGGGGCGATGGGGGCAGGTGGGGCTTGAAAATTCCCCCTTGTCCAAAGTGGGGAATGACCGAAAAAGTTTGAGAACCACTGCACTAGGTAACCAAGGTAACACTAAAATAGAAAGGATTATACATTTCAGATAAAATAAAGCACACTACTCTTGTGACAACAGCACTAAATTACTGTAAGTAGTGAAGCAGTAAAGATGAAGCTCAAAATAAAGAACAGTGTTATTTTATATGGCAGAATTCATAAAATTCTATAGACAGTATATGTAAGTGCTGTAGATACAGTTCAGAGGCCTGTACTGTCTATTTGATGCATTTTATCTGATTGAATTTGACATTAATACCTAAATTACAGCGGACAAGACAGATTGAGGACAGTGCTGTAGATACAGGGTAGAGGTCAGTGTAGTAGATACAACGCAGATTTCTTTGTTGTAGATGCAGTTCAGAGGTCTGTAGGCTACTCTCTATTTGATTCATGTAATATGAACAATTGTGATAATAGTAACTTTATTTCATTTATTTTATGTTTAGTGAGTGTAATAATTTAGTAGTTGAGTGGTTTGAGTTCATGGCTCAAGATGATGCTCGGTTAAAGGTTTGAATCCCGATCAATGAAAGCTTTTAAAAAATTGTGTAAAACTAGGTATAGGTATAAGAAATGTACATCTTCTGTACATTATGAATTTTATTCAACTGTTATGCACACTTACAGGCACACATCTCACACATCACACTTTAACTGACATTTGAACATCAGGCAGCCTGATGATGGGTGCCATTGTGTTCAGTAGCACATTGATCACAGTGCTTGTCCACACACTCTGTGGGAACTGCAGAGTCAGTGGTTTGACTCTGCATTGCAAAGCGTTTGTGATTTGAGATTTTTCAGGCACTTCATTTCTGCAATTTCAGCAATTCTTTAGTAATAACTGTAGCTGAAGAATTGTATTGTAAAGTGTTAGAAAACTTCTGAAGGCACAGCCTTCATGTGACTAGACCTACTAAATGTTTCAAATCTTTTGTAAATTATGAATTTCATTGAACTGTTATGTACCTGCTGAAAGATGAACACTGAAGGAATCCTAACCAGGAGAAGCTGACTGCAATGACAGCAATGGTGGTGAAGACATGCAGCATATGACAGCAGTGTAGAACTCAATGTTTGGGAGGAAGAGACGAAGGGAGGAGCAAAACTGAGACTCAAGTACAGAAAAGACAGAAACTTTCACAGTGGTGTTTCATCCAAAAAACAGACAGATTGTCTTTATCTTTAAGATGCTGTCAGTGAACTTCAGTCTGTTTGTGACTTTGTTTCTGCTCACAATAAGAGGTAGGTGAGATCATTAACATTAAAAGAGCTTCATTGATAAAAACCTTTAGATCATAAAGTTACAGAGTTATCTCTTCCTTTAGGTGTCAGCTGTGAAGAACTCACTGCAGTCAAGAAACAAGAGTCCAGATTGGAAGACAGCACTGTTACTCTGTCCTACACATACTCCAGAAAAGCAACTACTGAATATTTCTTCTGGTATCGACAATATCCAGGAAAACCACCAGAGTTCCTCATCTCTCACTCAGGAACAGGAACATTAATGTCTAACCCAGTCTCTAGACTGTCAGTTACAGTGAGTGAGGATAAAACCCAAATGGATCTGCAGATCTCCTCTGCTGCAGTGACAGACTCTGCTCTGTACTACTGTGCTGTGAGGCCCACAGTGACAGCAAACCCACAGTCTCTGTACAAAAACACAAGCTGACACACTGACAAGCTGCTGGAAGCCTTTTTCCACACTGTTGGACTCAACTTTTAGCTCCACTAGAGGGCGACATTATCAAGTAGGCGGTGCACTACTTCTGCACTGTGTTCAACCATTCTGTCAATAATAACTGCTGCTGTGAAGAGAACAATTGTCACACTGAATGTTGAACATCAGCTAGTTTCTCCTGTTGATTTAAACCTTGTTGTAGAGATGGAACATTGGCTGTGGATTATTCTTGCTGCTCTTTTCTTTGGTAAGATAGAAAGCACAACCTGTTTCCTCTTAAAACTGTTTAACATATTACTGAGCTGCATATTTAGTGATTTTGTTGCACAAAGAAAATATTTCTGCTGGCATTTGTCAGAAAGAACTGAAAGGTTCAATCTGATAACTATTCTACATGTAACTCTTTAAACCTACTGATTGTTTTCCTTTAATCGATCATCTTTATTGATTCATCTCTTCCTCTGCATGTTCTCTTCTTCCCCAGAGTGTAAAGGAGAAGACAGTGTGACCCAGCCACCAGGAGATGTCATTGCTACTGAAGGAGAGACAGTTTCACTTGGATGTACATTTGAGAGCAGTTACTCAGTTACTTTATTCTGGTACAAACAGGATGGAAATGATTCCCCAAAGTACATGTTGAAATGTTTCTCAGATTCATCAGAAAATGCTGCTCAGTTTAAGAAAGACCGATTTAATGCAACAATCAAGAACAAGTCAGTTCCTCTGAAGATCCAGAAGCTTCAGCTGTCTGACTCTGCTGTGTACTACTGTGCTCTGCAGCCCACAGTGACAGGAAACACCAAAACTCTGTACAAAAACCTTTGGAGCAAAGACAACAGAATACTCCACAACATCCACTAGAGGGACTCACACACTGTTAAACTTCAATAGTATGTGATGATACAGTTTCACACTGCCATACAAACCTATGAACTGGGAATCATACCCCATAGTGAAAATGTTTAGTTCAATCCGTGGATCTGAGATTTTTTATCTCATATATAAAAATAAATACAATATGAACTGCACATGTATAAAAATAGTAAAAAAAAAAATTCTTTCAAGGCTTTCATAATGTTTTAGACAGAACGCTGTCTTGGCAGATCCAGCATGGACAGTTACCGGTGTGAGAGATATGGGGCACATGTCAGAGAAGGTAAAGAAACACAAGAACACCAGGGCACATATGGATAACTCTGTAAAGCTAGCCATATTGGGAAGGGTGAACATCACTACGCAGCTGGATGACGGCCACAGGATTGCAGTGAGGAAACACAATGAGGAGGTGGATAAAAACAGCCACAGTTTATCCAGAATTAGCGACTGTGTTTCCCGGGCTTGGTGGATTTTGTTGCCTCCATTGACAGTGTGCTGGAGGAGCACCTGAACACAGCTACCAGCTGAGGGCAGTCAAAGATGACACAGAACCAGCTGTTGGACTGGAAACAGTCAGTTCAGTTCAGTTTAAAATGCAAATGAAAGGTTTGTGTAATATGATGTTTATGTCTTTGTGTAATAATGGTAAGGTATCGACCGAAACAACATAGTATCGAAACTGGTATGGAGAGAATTCTGTTCCTTTATTATTCATTCAAATAGAATAGATTTGAAACCAAAAAAGAGATTTGAGAGCAAAAAAGAGTAAGTGGCAATCCAAAAACAATGTTTTTGAGATGGAAACAGAGCAGGTTGCAATTGAAAAAAAAATAAGAGAGAACATATTTCTTCAACTTCAATCAAAACTAATGTTTGTAAGTAAAAACATACGACCATTTTTCTTATAAATCAGTCCTCTTTGCTTGCACGTTCTAAAGTTTTGCTTGCGAATTCAACTGCACTTGATGGGCGGGGCCTACGCTGGTGGACGAGAGAAGAGTTTCTATTGGTTGGTTTGACCTGGCTACGTCTTCCACATTACACCCACTTCTCCCTGTGCTGTGCTGCTTGGAGAAGCCTGTTGCTCTTGAAACGTTTCCTATAAGTAATGAATTGCACTATATATCGTTGGCTACAGCCTGCCGTACATTCACAACAACAACAACAACAACAACAACAACACAAGTAATGAATTATAATGCCCTGCTGCTGCTAGCACACTGATTAGCAGCAACATGGTTGTCTCTGCTAGTCACGGCCTGAGCAGAGTATCCTAATGAGTGAGTGAATTACAGCTGTTCTAATGTCAACAAACACACGTGGCGAATAATTACAATCACAGGACATGTCTTTTGGTCTGATTATACAGATCAGTGGTGCTGAAATTTGTGTTTCTCTTCTATAGCCTACACATTGTACATCTCTGAGGTCAGAAGCATCATTCAGTGTCATTTAAGTCGGACCGTCTGACGCAGCTGCTCCTGTATAGACCCGTAATGCTGGCTGGTTAGAAATATGTGCATGAATTTGTTAAATTATTCGCCACGTGTGTTTTTAGACATTAGAACAGCTGTAGAGAACGGGAGCCGGGAGGAGTGGCGGCAGCCCGCTACACAGTGGAAACTGGCCCCGCGTTCAGCGGTAGTTTAGTAATCCACGGTAGTACTGTTGTGTAGGAACCGTGACGTTTTGGCACCGCCAGTACCATGCAACACTAAATGTTTAAATCACAGCCTTACGTTGTATACGCCTCCCTGTAATTCACTCACTCATTAGGCTACTCTGCTCAGGCCTAGCAGAGACAACCATGTTGCTGCTGATCAGTGTGCTAGCAGCAGCAGGGCATTATAATTCATTACTTGTGTTGTTGTTGTTGTTGTTGTTGTTGTGAATGTACAGCAGGCTGTAGCCAACGATATATAGTGCAATTCATTACTTATGGGAAACGTTTCAAGAGCAACAGGCTACCTCCAAGCAGCACAGCACAGGGGAGAAGTGGGTGTAATGAGGAAGACGTAGCCAGGTCAAACCAACCAATAGAAACTCTTCTCTCGTCCACCAGCGTAGGCCCCGCACATCAAGTGCAGTTGAATTTGCAAGCAAAACTTTAGAATTTGCAAGCAAAGAGGACTGATTTATAAGCAAAATGGTCGTATGTTTTTACTTACAAACATTAGTTTTGATTGAAGTTGAAGAAATATGTTCTCTCATATTTTTTGTTCAATTGCAACCTGTTCTGTTTCCATCTCAAAAACATTGTTTTTGGATTGCCACTTACTCTTTTTTGCTCTCAAATCTCTTTTTTGGTTTCAAATCTATTCTATTTG